CATTTCACAAGAGCGGTTACAATTGGCGCAATTTTCGAGTTTCACCGGGCTACTCCAGAATTTTCCGATATTTCCCAAGAATTTTTTCCAGAATTTTCCTAATGAAAACTGAAGTCCTAAGGACGTATGTGGGACGGGAGGAAGGAAAATTCTTTTGTGTAAGTTTATAAAAAAGAGAACTTAAAAAGGGTCTGTTTACAGAGTAAGTTAATAGTATTGTTTATCAATTGGTATATTCACTTCTACTCAAACAAACATATTTGAACTATAAGCCAGAATTAATTTTGAGTTTAGACTCGCGGTAGTGAGAGGGTAAGTCTCGCGACCTCTGGGTCTCGTCGTCGACTTCGACGACCGACACACCGTTCTTAATAAATGTACAGGGTCGGCAACAAACGCTCCGCGATTAAACAAAAGACGGTCGTCTATCTTGGAAACACAAAACGGTCCGGAAAAAATTCCATAAACGTAGTGTTAGCTGTGCACGGGGGTCCGAGCGACCGGAACAATTAATAGTACGCTTTGGCGTACGTTCCGGACTTTGAGTGTATAGGAGGAGCGAAACGACTCGATGTCAAAGTGTCTCGACGAGAAATCTTGGGTGGGTATTGTAACGCGAGAGCGAACAAAAAATTATCGAATATATTTAGATCCGGTGTACGGAACACTTTTTTCGACTGATGCTAAGTTTACGTGTGCGGACTGTAACGATCGGCGAGAAGACATACAAAGTCGAAAACGAAAGGTCGCGAGAACAGATTTGACGCCGCCGAGCTACGGCAGACTATAGAGTACATGAGCCGTATCCGCTGTTCTTTGAACCATCCACTAAACAACGCAAAGTCAGGACTACGGTACAACAAAAGAAAAAAAGGAGAAACTGTAAAAAACTCAGCTCAAGTAACGCCCCGCACACTAAACGACTCCATGAACATACTGATAAGAGATAGGTGTCCGGACCCAGGTTGGAGCGGAACGCGAGCAGTCTTAACAAGGCATCGGACGACCAGAGCCATCGTTTCGTAACGGAGCGTGACGACGACGGTTCTTAGTCTTAACTGCCCGAGCCGCATTGTCTTGAGAAGAAACGAAAAGTCGCAACTCGGCATCGAGTGCGTGCAGGGTGAGTAACAGACGGGAATCGTAGAGCACACGAACCCAAGGTCAGAGCACATATGACTCGGAACTGCGTCAAACGCGTCCCTTACGCGAGGCATACAGCTCGAGACAACCACTCCTTGTAGTGTCGCCGAGAAAAAGACCAGGTTCCTAAAATCGAAAAAGTATTACTAGTCATTTCACCTAAATCCCATGTCTCGTAGGAAAGAGAGATCTACTATACTATCTCTCTCAAACAGACCCCCTTCCTGAAAGAGGCTTTACAACCACGACACAGAATGATTGCCTTGTTTCCATCCGCGTTGTCATTATTAGCCTGAGCAACTACAGAAGCAACTTTCAAGTGTAAACAACATAAGGAATAAAACGCCGAATGTCCCAACAAACACAGAATGTACGCGGAAAGACTCAAAAGTGATTACGCCCTTATGGTAACATGTACCGGTGTGTTTGAGAGGGGACACATACGCAATACGATTCCAAGACTAACAAAGACGACTGCTGACATAGACCTATCCAGTGGCAACCTCAAGCGACCACGATAGCGGCTTTTGGAGTATGGACGATCGAAAAAGTCGTTCGTAAGAACCACAACATTACGACAAGCATCGTAGACTGTGAGTGTGTCGTCGTAGAGTCGGTGTGCACTCCACGGCTTACAGACAAGCTGACGTGCCGTATTTAGTGCCTTGCCGTACGTAAGAGGTCAGAACGGTCATTGGAAGGAGGGTCTTTACGACCCGAAACGTTGATTAACGAGCGGCGGTACTAATGTAAGTCCCTACATCTATTATTGGAGAACCAAACGAATAAACAACAATGAACTTACTTGTCAACGATTCTATATATATTTTGGGGGGGTCGGAGTGTTGAGCAGTGTGAGTGAAGCTCCGTCGGGTGCGTGGGTGAGAGACAGCTAACCAAATAAGGAGGTAAGAGAAGTCCTCATTGTACACTCGCAAGATACTGTAAAAAAGGAGACCATGAGAAACATTGAGATCTGGGAGGGAGGATACCATGTGGTCTCCTTGGAGTAACAGCAGACACCGAAGGGTGAGTTAGGGAGTGCCAACACAACTACCATCTAAATGTAAAAAAATAATCAGCGCGGATAATATACCATATCGGGAGTACCCAGGGGTAGCTTTACTACTTAAGCCATTATCGACTCATTTAACAATTTCGAGTCAGGGAGAGTGGTTGTACACAGTTTATGGAGACGCTCTGGATCAAGGTGATGTACGCCTCTATCAACAGATCGTCGCGAGATCTGAGTAAGTTGTAGAGTGTGCCTGTACGAACGTTACGTACAGACACGAGCACGTATGAGCGTTGGTTTGAAGACCGCAGTCTGACGAACACACCGTCAATGATCACCAGCGACACGGACGACTCACACGAGAACCACACCACCACACACACGACACACACAACACACACACCCACACACACAACCACACACTACCACACACAACACACCGGCTTGTTTCGTTTTGGCGGAGGCGAGGGTCAGTGGCCAGTTAGCACAAACTTAAAATTACCTTGAAGCAAAGATTTACAAACGAAAACAAAGGGAAATTTTCCACCCCGACACGACAACGAACACACACAACACAACACGACACAACACCACACACGACACAACACGACACACACACCACACGCACAGACAACAACGAACACGAACACACGACATCACACACACCTACACACAACGCAGCCAGCACCACACACACGACAAAAGAAGAGTGTTGTACAGTCACCCCCTCGGCCCGAGAAAACTTCGACGACAAATATTTAGTGAATGAGGCCGAACTTAGAGCGGAGATATATAGGGAAAGACAGACGTTTGTATACACCACTATCAAACCATACAATCACACGACGAACTACTAAAATTTCGTAGATTGACTTCGGAAACTTCAATAAACAACACACTTATCTAACTGTCCCTTCTATAGGACGAACACAGCGACACAACAAGACTGTCCGCCTCCAGAGAGGCTACCGTCACTACAAGATAACCGCTACCATTAACACACACACACGTACGGGCGGACTGGACGAGAGGGTACTTATACACAAAGAATTTTTGTACCCGTCCACACTTCATTACATCCGTAAATCCGTCCACTACCACGTAATTCTGCACCTTGCATGCGACGCTGCACAATAAATACCCCGTTTACACACAATTGACGGTAAGACGGTCGGTTATTTTGTCCTCACCCCTCTCAATTTGGGCCTTGACTTCAGAGTGTACAGCGCAGGTTCCCTCCTTCGTCCGTCATTAATGTGCCCGATTCACAACCACACATGACGGTGACCTCAAACACCTACTTTTTTTCTGCTGAGAGCTGCACAGTATGTAAAAAGGTGTCCCCATCGACTGCATGAACACTTAATTCGCGTCTGTGAGAATCGATATCCTTTACACGCCGTGTATGAGCGCACAGTCCGTTGTTACCTGATTAGCCACCGTGGATGGTCGACATGAGGGACAAGCGACATAGACCTAAGGTATTCGCACATATGGTATACAAACAATTGGCCACCTACGATGAGGTCACCAACGACACACATCACAATATAGAGAGCGCGGATTTCTCCGCTCCTAGCCCACATGCACTGGCTTACCGGTACCGGTAAACCCGACACCTATGCGGTTATGGTCCCTTAAGGAACTATGAACCCACAGACGTGTGACAGAGAGGACAGAGAATCGGACCGAACATGGGTCACAGGGCCCCTACGACTCGAACGCGACCACTAGCGCAGGATTGTGTCACAGTATGACTCATGTGATGGACCCTTTCACCTTACTCCCCGGAGGACCAACAGTCTGAAAAAAAGCGTCCACAGTCTACTTTACTTGGATGGCCCGCGAGTATTCTCACACACGGTGACAATACATAACCGACGAACACAATGACATCTAAAATAAAGGGAGTCCAAGCGAGAGAGGTTCTGCAGTCCGGAAACAGTATCCTGCGCACCTTCATTCCAAAACAGAGCAAATCGTACATATAAGTCTTGGAGAGTGATAATTGTCAATATTTCAAAAAGTACGATTTCACAAAGAGGTCCCCTACACTCTTCAGTATACACAGAGCGATATTTTTTCTCATTGAGTAGACTAAATCGGCAAGATCTTTACGTTACGGACTAAGTATATGTTTACAGAATAGGATCGATGTAATAAATAAAAAGCGAGTATATGCCAGTATAAATGAAGATAAGCAAATCAACGGAGCAATACGTGTATATAAACAAAAGAAAGAATGAAGCACCTCTAACATAAACCTTCCTTCAATTACAGTAAATAACGGATTCTAAATAAAAATCATATGATTATGGTTACACAATATAGTTTTACGCTCCATAAGTAACCACACAAACGAGGAGAACAATGCTCTTAACATGGTTGATAAAACAAGGCACCTGACTAGAGAAGGTGACGTTCGATCCTGTAGAGCGATACAACCATCCGAGACGCCGCAAGTGAAGAGTTTGCCCCTTAGGCTAGCTTCATAACCCTGGAAAACTACTTAGTTAGTCCGCGCATAAAGGAACGTTCTACTCACCTGACCAGGAATGCCACAAGCCTTCCGGATAACAACCAGTCATCTCACACATCCCGGCGACGCGAAACAAGCTACTACACAGTCTACACGCCAGCTAAGAGGTAACCTCACATGCTAATAATACAGTATTGATTGTCCTTCCTCCTTATCTTCCAACCATTTGGACGCAAACTTGCATTTCCCCATAACGATGTTTTAACAACCGGCGTAAACGGACCTTCGCGCGCTATCAAGCAGTGAGCGTGCGATGTCCTGTTCAGATGACGTCAAATCCAACGGGATGCCATAAATAAACTACAAAGAATCACACTACACACACACAATGATTACATTCAGGCAGACTGTAGAATATAACCTCTTTGGTTGATATATTTGAATTTTAATTGATATACTTATTAAAAACAAGCTACAAAATGTAATACCTTGGAAAACGCCGTTTAATACTTTTTAATAGCCTTAATTTTCGCTAAATTGTTTTCATCAACTTTTAATACTTTTGAAGACCCCATGGACACCCCGAGGATATTTGTTTGGTCCAAACCTCCAAAGATATTAAGATTCTTGTTTATTAAGGAGACATTTTTCTTAATAATAGCCTATAAAATGGTAATAGCTGCATTTATAAAGCGCTTTATCCAGTCTTGACGACCCCACTCATTCACCCATTCATACAGGGCTATTTGCTCAGGTTAACATTCACACACATTCACACACCGTGTGCCATGCCATCGGGAGCAACATGTTGGCAGCAAGGGCTGGCATCGCACCCTCAACCTCCCGAACGAAAGACAACCGCACTCCCTCACAGTCACGGTCAAAAATCGTTTTTTGATTTTAAATGGAACTTCAAGTTTCTAAAATGAATTATAGACTTTTTGTTTCCCCATTATAAAAAATGCCTGTGGAGCTGTATGTCACTTTTAAATATTTATTTTCCCAAATATGATTGAAAATAAGTCCTACGTGCACACAGAACACGTGTCCTTGTACTTGTGTAACTAGATGTGTATAACGCTGAGTGGGGAGAGCCGGGGCTCTTTTTGTAAGAATAAAGCTGTTTAACTACAGATCAACATTCCAGCTCTGATCACTCTTATTCCCCATTCTGTCTGCAAAACAAGCTGTGTGTGAGACTGCTAACAAAACGCCATTGAGAATTGTTCAGCCTTAGGCAACTGACAGGAAAATGTAGATTTTCTGCTTGTGTCGCATTACTGACAGCAACTTGGAGAAGTTCTCCTCAAGTGCTGGAGATAGCGTGGAAGGTTCATCACATGACCTGACTGCTCACATACAATGAAATAAATGTAGTTTCTTAAAAAAAATGGAAGCAGGTTGTGAAAGTAATGTAAGGCCAAATAAGAGCACAGGGAGGTGCCATTAAGGACACGTGAACGTACTGGCGACAACAGATGTTATTTATGGGGAAAATGTCAAGTGTGTTAAAACATGCATTCTGACAGCCAAGACATAAGGAGTGGGGAGAGGTATAAACAGGAAGCTGAGTCAATCACATGTCTGCAGCTCAAGAGAGAGAAGCAGAGCAAGTACTACTCAGGGAGAGAGGAAAGGGAGGATGAATAAAGAAGAAAACCAGTTTCACTTTCTATTCCCACCACAGCCTTTGTAAAAAGCCACATTAAATACAAAATGCAGACCATGGCTAAGTTTCAGCAAAGCTACATCAGCGTGTCACCTACCAGCTGAAACTCCCTTCGACGATCATAGGCGTACTGTATACCCGAGTCGGCCCACAGAGCTTTGATGGCTGGCAAGTACCGCAAGAAGACGGACGTCTCCAGCTGACCGATGGCCATCTTGGCCGACCGGGTGTCGAATGCCATCACACTGTCTCCATGCTTCTGGTTGTCAGTGTCACCCCACGGGATGTGCAGCTTCTCGCGGGCGTCCACCAACACACGTATACCTGGAGAGGAAGTGAAGAGAGGCCCCTATGTTAGAATTTACCAGGCCACATGTGAATGAAACCTAAAGTGGAAGAGAGACTAGTAGGGCAGGTGAACAGAAATAACAGGTGTCTTAAAAACGGGCCTTGTCTGACGAGAGTAATTTAGCAGAATGTAAAAAAAAAGGGAAACACAAAACTATATCAGAAGTATTTATGCAGATTTCCCAGTATTTGAAACTGTGACAGTAATAATAATGAACCCAATAAACATGCAAAGGATTTTTATATAAACATTACATTTTTATTCAAAACAAAAATACTTATGATTTGTTTTACTAATATTTCAGTATTCAATTGAAATGATTGGAGGAAGTTGTCATTTTTGCACAATTATTTTTAGTTACTAAAAAAATGTTTTAAAAAAAGATCTAATGATTGTTTTTACGAGATTAGTACCAAACTAATATTTGTTCTAAGTTTTAAGAATACCTATTGAAGGCTGGCGCGTCTCTGTAGCACAAAGTCAATAATAATACAAATACAAACAATATTTTGACATGTTCTGCCTTAAACATTGCACCCCCTATTTTTATTAGATGTTGGACTCGTCCATATTGCGTTTAATAGAATGTCGATACATTGTTAAGTCCTAGTTAAGGCAATACTTCATTTTGCAAATAACATTGTTTTAAAACAGTCAGGGCGGTATTTACTTATAGAACTGCATTTTAGGTCGTTTCGTTTACACTGAATTAATTAGCATTGCAAATTGTCCCTGTTATTTAGAATACTCCCTGTACATACATAAGAGTGGAAAAACAGGAACACCTTACAGCACAGTGGTGGGTTCTACCCTCCATTAGCTACATCCATGTTAGTTGTTGAGCAACAAAACTTGCCGATGGCTATTTGAAACTGTTGGCAAGTATAAGCTATGATAAAAACAATTAACTGTGTTGTAGCTACACGGCTATACACTCTACAAAAACCGTGATATTTATTCAGAAAAATGGTTCATGGGTGTGCCGACAGCAGATGTAGACTGTTTATGTCCTCTCACCAAGCGCTGCTAAACAGATGTGGAAACTTTCCCATCCATTTTAACCGCCTTTAGTCGCAGAAACACGGCTTATCTCGCCACCTGATGTACCTTTGGTTAGCAGTGAGGTTACCTTTGATAACATTGCTGTAAATTGTGGCTCTGAAATCCTCCTGGGCTTGATGGTCGAAGTCCTGGCCGTGGATGATCCGCATTTGTTTGAGGAAAGTCGACTTGCCGCTCTCGCCAGCGCCGAGCAGCAGGATCTTCACCAGCCGCTTCACGTACGTTTTCTCCCGGGAGAGACATCTATCGATCTCCTTGGACTTTCGAAGCTGATCAACCTCGCCCCCGTTCAGCAGGCAGACGGGTAGACAAACTTTTAACACGGACCTGGTCGGCAGGAAATCCGCCATGTTCGCACAAACTTCATCGATGCTAATTTGATGCGCGTTCGCGGGGCGCAGGCACGGGACCAAGCCCCTTCCCTAAACTCAGGAAGTAGTACTGCTGACAGTTTACCACCAATCTTAAATCTGTTTATGCAGTGCTATGTGTGTGTTCTTTACTCACACAAATAAGACATTTTATTTAAAGAACGTGTTGGCCTGCACAAATATAACTACATGAGGTTAAAGTAGGAATAAGTCATTTAAAGTATGAATAACTAGCTTTAGCGGACTTAACGACACTATCACAGAGTTTATCATTAAAACTCTCTACTATATAGACATGTGAAACTCAACTTAGACGCTGTGTATGGTGTTTAAGTGAGTTTAAGTGTTCGGATAATCACAAATACACGAGTTTACCTTGTAAAACGCTAGATTTGTAAAACACTGGTGGTGCCATGTCGTCATCTGCTGGTGAATATTGGTAATTAGAAAAGCAGCGCTCTGATTGGTTGATTCCCCTCGCTTTGGTATGCTGCCTTTAAAGACTGTTGGAAATATGAGAGATAGTACTTGAACGCACGTCAAATGGTCAGCAAATAGAAAATAAATAATGGAAATCCCTTGATTTTCTATCAGTAGTGAGTGTGTAGAGTCTTTGGCGCATTCATGAGGTGACTGCCACCAAATAAATGTCATATAAGGAACAGAAACTTATATCAACTTCCACTTTAATGCGAAAAAAACCATTTCTAATTCCAACCTTCTGAGCAGGAGCTTTTGCGGAACACTTGAAGGCAGCATCAGTCTCTGTCATTTCACTAACCCCTCTCCAGCATCCCCACACGACACAAGTCGCACAAACGACAGAAGCATTGTATATGTTTGTGAAGGAGTGACCATCTGACACCATGACCATTAGAAACACTCTCCAGGACCATGGCCAGAGATACCGACCACGTATGGCTTCTCTCAAGAAGGTAGGCTATCCCTTTTATTTCAAAGATGATGAACACAGCCCTGTTCAGTCTTGTAGAATATATCTGCAAATGCACCTATACATAGGTCCCCCAAATTAATTCTTCAACGCAATATTTGGGAACTACTGGTCTGCAGTATGTATCCTCATTAATCCTGACTATATTGGCCTTTTCTTTTATAAACTGCGTTAGACTAGAAAAACTATCTGTATTCTCCACAGTTCCTTACAGGAATCTTACAGGTGCCATTTGGCATGCTTCGAGAAAATGTAACAGACATCAAATATGTCATGTTTTTATTATGCATGTACATCTGAATTGTCATAATGCAATTGTTCAGATTAAGTGGGAAAAACATATAAAAAATAACTAAGCATTAAAAAGTGCATGCAGCAGAATGACAAGACATCAAAATAAACAAATGTCATCTTGGTTTCAGCGCTCTATCAGCCTGTCACACTAAATGTTACACTGTGTTTTGTTGAAACCTTTTCACAGTGATAAGGTCACTCATTTTAATAAGCATTAAGCCTGGATAAGTATCAGTGCTTTATCTACACCAACCACCCGCTGGAGAGGAGTTAATCCATGAATTGGACAACAACAGTGTGGCCAGAGCCTGGATCCATTCATCATCTCACATTTTATCCACTTTAGAAGCTGCATATTAAGCACAGTAACTTAACTTTTTGATATTTGGAAAAGAGCCTAGGAAATAATTAAGACAAAAGCTCTTTCACTAGAATATTATCTTAGTCTATTGATCCCAGATGCAGCACTCACAATGTCCTGCTCTCCAGGGGAATGCTAACTCATTTCAGTGAGAACTTTGTGCTTTTAGTCCATGAAAGCCCACTTTTGTCCGGCTCAGGCTGCGGCTTATAGCCTCTCCAGGATGACTTCAAAGCACTGAGCCACTTCAAACAGGCCCGGGAGTCAGCCTCCCACACTGACACACACACAGACACACTCTCATACAAATTACATTAATTACTGCATGATTTCTTGCTTTCCAGCTCTCATCAGAGCGGTGGGAGCTTTGGGATCAGATGATATGATAACTTAAAAAAATTGTTTAGAGGGCAGTGACTCATAGCAAACCTCCCACACACGGCAAACAAAAGCCATTCGATCAGGGCATAAACAAGCCTCTCATCTCACTGCTCCCCTTGTTTAATTGCAGCGTAAAAGGTTCTGACTTAATTGCAATGTCGTTTTTGTAATAGCAAGGTTGAGTGATAAGAAGCATTAGTTACATGCAAGCTTTAGTATGAGGTTTAAATCAATGAGAGGCAATTAGATCCCATTTTTCAGAATCTTTTATTGAACTGAAAACAGGTTAACAGGGTTGATGATTATGAAGATGATAATCATTATCGCCTTCATTTTGTCATAGACCGGTGCCAAAGGGACGGACATTTACATTTCCTATGTCTGCCCTGTACATTTTCAGATGTGAAAACAATTCACATGTTCAATATCAAGTAGGCTATTGTTTTAATGTAGCATTTCTTTATTTCCCCCCCCCGGTTTGAACAGCCTGAGTTTTGATGATTACTAATTAATGATGATTTTATAACAATCATGTAAGTGGGCGGCTGTAGGGACTTGGCTTGGCTTCGTAACCATGGGTCACCACTTCAAGTCCCAAGCAGAACAAATACATCTGGAGTGTGGTCTGATAGCTGGAGAGGGGCCAGTTTACCTCCTGGGCACTGCCGAGGTGCCCTTAAGCAAGGCAACAAATTCCCGATTGATCTGTATTAGGCATTTGAGCAACTATACCAGTATTCCAAAGCGGGTGTGTATTCGCCCTGTACTCTTTATGTAATCCAAAAATAAAAAAAGAGTGGAAAACGGAATTTCCCCTATCAAAGGTGCATCTTCAAAACATGTAAACATCCTCTAACTTAAACACATAAACAATGTGAGCATTTTGTTTAACAAAAAAGTAAATGGTTGTCAGTAACAGTGTCAACATTTGCCACCATCGATCATGTTGATAAATAGAATGCTCCCATAAAAACGCTATTGTATATCAATACATTATCAAAGGGCCGAAACGGTTGACGTGTTAAACGGCCGGAAACACGTCCAACCTGCTTTTTTACCCACAAATTCGAGCATTTACTATACTATTTTTCTCCTCATAACAGCTGCCCCCACAACCTGTTGTCAAAGCAACCTGTTGGCATGGTGACCCCTTCCCCCTCAACTCACAATCAGTTGTTGTAGTAACATCCTGTCACCCCTATGATGATAAAATCATATTAATTTGCAGTCGGAGAAGGTGCTGCTGGAGATGCAGGACCCCAAAACAGGGCTGAAGTCCCAGCCCCAGAGACTGGTGATCACAACAATACCACACGCTATCACTGGTAAATGACACACACACACACACACACACACACACACACACACACACACACA